AAAAACATGTAAGTAAATTGCTGCATAAACCTAGTAGTTAATAAATCTTAAATTACAGTTTTAACTTGTGTTCACGACATTAAAATACATTGCATGCACACTAATTTGGTTTCACAACAATATATACACATTTATTGCGGCTTCACAGGAGCCATTTTAATTGGGAAGCTACCTTGGCCAAAAACGATTGCATCGTTCCAGAGCATTTGCATTCATATGATGAGTAAAGATCTTACATTCACTTATATGAGTCAATTGTGCCTGGTTAAGAATCACGTTTGGAGAAAATTGTATCTACTATGGCACCTTTGGAAGGCCCTCATCCAGCAGTTGATGATGAATATTCCAGTGGCTTTAAGGCTCAATATTGTCACTCTTACCCTACCTTGCCAAAAATGCAGCACTGAAGCCAACTGTTAGACTATGAAGCAAAGAATGTGTAGAATTTGTATGCCAACAATTCTAATTGTGATAGTTTTTGTATTTAATATTTTGTGTATCATTTCACACACAATACAATTGTGATTACGAGCAATTCGAAACCATTTATTATTGCTCTGGTTGTAAGTGGCTTGGTCAATTCTCAGTGAATATGAAAAATTTTTATCGCGATAAATGTGTCCCTTAATTAAAACCATTTGGCAAACTCAAATTTGTGGTGATTCGCGGATCTGTAAAAGAAACGAATGTAACCAGGTTTAAAGCGCTTTACGGGTGTCTTTAATTCTCTGCCATCCAAATCTACCAAGATAAACCTTTACGTGGGTTTATATTGGGTGCATTCACATCGCATACTAATTGGCAGAGATTTCAGTGAATTTAACAAGTGTAGGCTTTCACACTCAATATGGTTCACACTTGATTTTTAGGTCAGATCGTTTGAGTAAATTGCCAATGTGTCATACACCCTCCACCTGGCACAGACAAATTAGTAAAGTTGTCACGTGAACACAGGCCAATTTTTTGTTGGAGATCAATCCACATTAACAATTTGGTACTAGGTGATTGCCAGAATTGTGAAAATCTACTCCAGTCTTGGGCCTTAAATAGATGGTGTAATGTCATTAATATGCCCTTGCAGGTGACCATCAACATTTCCTCAACACACCTTTAATGGAAATCCGATTTGATTAGTCTATTCCGTTCTATCGCTTTGACAGAAATCATTAACTACATACCCAACAATCCAGCAGAGTATATGAATAAATCAAACTAAGATACACTTGTATTTCACGAGGGAAGGCTACTGAGCTAAATAGCTCTTTATCAGAAGTGACCTGGCCACAAATGGCAGGTCAACGAAGTGGATTATCGCGTGGAAATATATAACAACCAAATACTCTCAAAGCATGTTTCTAAACGTGGAGGGAAAAACCGGAGGACCCGGAGAAATGTCCATGCGACCACAGGGAGAACATACAAACTCCAAATATACAAGACTTGGGATCGAACCCACAATCTCCTGTATACCAGGTAAGGTAGTTAACATATCTCCAGCATAGCACCCCCGTGGTGGCATGTCCACTTCATCAAATGCAGTGGACAAAAATAAAGTAGTTTCAGGCACAGTTTAGCTTTTAAGTTGTGTTTACTCTTGTTCGCGTACATTGTTCGCATTGTTTCCCCACATTGTTCTGCAATTTCTGCCTTACAGAGCGATTCTCTTGTCGTTATTGCAAACATCCATTTCTTCTGGCACACTGAGATGAACCACATGCGAGGCACGTTATATACATTAAATGATAATTGTGATGCTTCTAACAATTTTTTTAGAAACATTGTTGGTTATGCACTCATAAATAAAAGCATAGCCATTTGTAATCCACTATTGAAGGTCTTGCCCATGCTGTGTGAGTCTTGGGTGATTGTTTGACCATGCTTCACCAAATTGGTAAGTGCAGGATGGCAAAGGAAGGTGCCCAGGATTGGTTCAGATTTGACTTTCCACTGATGTTAGCCGTGGCTAGGAATCAAACTCATAGCACAGGGTACTAACTACCTATGCCACCTCTGTGCTTATAAATTGCGCTGTATTAAAAAAAAGCCACTCGTGTAGAACTGATGGCCATATAAAATGCAATTAATTGAACTGGCACAAACACTAACATACCGTGTAAGTGTATCGGATTGTGAGACGAATAAAAGGCTTCTTGTTCTACATTCAAAGTCATTTATGATCTTGGCTAACAGCACGCAAAATGCTGAAGCAGTGCAAATCGATTCTCTCTCTCTCTCGCCTGTGCTACTTGTAGTCTTTCTCAGCACCTTTTGAAGCTCCCTTTACAAGCAAAAGCTATTCCAGTAATCTGAATTATTAATACATGGGCAGAATATTGATTTAAACCCCTCAGCTTGAATTACACATTGATAGAATTTATCCCCGCATACCATTAATGCTTTCTGGGGTCAAAAACAACGCAGAATTTTTTCTCTCAAAATGTTAACACCGTCAAAAAGTATGAAAAACAATAACATTAAATCAAAGGAGATGGTGCATGTAAAATTATGAAAGAGGGCAGAATGAAAGTGTCAATATTTTTTTTAGATACACTTTTTGGAAGTGTTGAATTCACAACTTTTGCTCGAACAAATGTGTTATTCATGGCAACCCATTTTTCTAACCATCCATCTGTTTCATCTTCTTGGTTCTTTCGGTAAAGTCACGTAGAATAGAAATAATAAAATAATAAAAATAAAACATAATAAAATCATTCTCACGACGTTTCGGCCACAATGCAAGCAGCCGAAACGTCGTGAGAATTATTTTATTATGTTTTATTTTTTATTATTTTATTATTTCCATTCTACGTGACTTTACCGAAAGAACCAAGAAGATGAATCCCTGCAGTCACGAAAGCTTTAGAGCGAAAAATTCATCCATCCGTTTGTCATTAAAACCATTTAACTCTACGACTACCTCACACCTCCAATGTGCACGGTTTGTTACGTACAATGCGAAATAAGTTCAACATACACACAGACCCTCTAATGTCCATCTAATTCATTGACTGAAGTGTAAGTGTGATTATAAATGCATTAAATCTTCATTTAAAGCTTTCGTGACTGCAGGGATTCATATTTTTGGTTCTTTCCCTTCTACGTGACTTTACCGAAAGAACCAACAATATAAATGCATTCTTTGTTAAGTAAAAAAAAAACATAATTTGAATCCGAATTTTTTTTCGATTTAAAGCTTTCGTGACCGCAGGGATTCATCTTCTTGGTTCTTTCGGTAAAGTCACGTAGAATGGAAATAATAAAATAATAAAAATAAAACATAATAAAATAATTCTCACGACGTTTCGACCACAACGCAAGTAGCCGTCCTCAGGTGGAGAACAGGTCTGTCGAGAAGTCATCCAGACTGTCTTCTCGACAGACCTGTTCTCCACCTGAGGACGGCTGCTTGCGTTGTGGCCGAAACGTCGTGAGAATTATTTTATAATGTTTTATTTTTATAATTTTATTATTTCCATTCTACGTGACTTTACCGAAAGAACCAAGAAGTTGAATCAGAATGTCTCACTGACTGGCAATCATTACATACTTTATAAGAATCGAATTTTTTTAAATTTGTTCATGTACCAGTCTGATTTTATTGATACCTCTGCTCCACATCTTAAACCACACATTTCTAACTGAATCCTTTTATACTGCCGGTGTGCACAGAGGAGTGGAGGGATCGGGGGGGATTAAAATAACGTGCCCATTATTTCATCTGCTGCACCAGGAGATGGAATTAGACTAGAAACCTCTGGATTGCAAGTGTTTTAACCAGTCCACCCCGCACACATTTATTTGCAATCTCATCTTCACGTCTCAAAAACATTTAGATATTCGTCTTTGCTTTGGAACCATTACAATATTATTGCCGCTGCATCGATATTTACCAGGGCTCACAATCCTCAAAAAGTGAAGTAATTCAATGTACTCTACGTGTTAATATATTAGAAATATGTAATTAGTGTAAAATTGTGAAGACTTTTTTTTATTGTACACATTGCACTACGTTAGATATATGAGTTTTGTCAGGGTGCCATGGATCGAATGTGGTATGAGCTACAGGAACTAAAGGGTTACTGGAGGTGGGACATGCTCACGCATATACCAATGCAGTAAGCACAGCCACCCAATGCAACAGCAGTGCTTCTTGGGATATAGTTACGCTAAACCTTGGTTATTTTTAAAATTAGCACCTCCAGGCTCTGTGCAGGTCGCATAAAGCATAGGATGAAATATTTCCCATTCGAACCACAGCACTGTTCAAATTATCTTTGCATTGGTTACAGCATTATTGGAACATTTTCAGGATTACAAGACGCATTTCTTTGCTTAATTTTAGAAGCAAAAGTTGGGGGTGCATCTTACAATCTGGTAGGTCTGTTGGTCTTACCTGGTCAAATTAAATAAAACATTTAGTTTAGTTTACATGCAGTGTCAGTAAATTAGGGTATGGTCAGTGGAGGTTGATGAAGGAAGAACTCCAGTTGAGATATCACTCACAACATATGTAAGCCATTACCAGAATTGATGTCAGATTGACAGGTAGCTAGGTTCATGGAGCAGTGTGCTCACCACCTGCAAAACCTTATCTTTTGATATTTTTTTTAATGAAAAAATTACTCTCATGAGAAAACAGTGGGACATCCAACATAGAAAATATGTTTAAAATATTAACGAGTTGAATATTTGAAAGGAGGAAACATTGCGTTTTGAGATAAATTTATGGGAAAAAAAAGACCTGCAATTTATAGCAAAGTCTGCAATTGCATTACTGACACGTCTCTGGTTTCACAGCATCGAGCACCGATGAAGAGCAAACCGAAAATGAATGTAACACTGAACGCACATCGGGGAGTGTAGAAAATTAGCAGAGCAAATAATGTGTCGGATTTGAGTGCTAAATAACAAGAAACCAAGGGAGAAAAACAAAAGAGGAGACGTGATTGTAGAAAGGCAAGACCCAGAGGCCTGGTGATTATACATACGTGGATACGCACCGAGCTGAGGGAGTCGCGGGTGGTGGGCGAGCGTACTCGGCGCGTTGTGGTGGTGGCCATGGTGGTTGTCGTCTCCATGATGGTTGTTGACATCTCTGTGGGTAGTGCCGTGGCGGTTGACTCAGTGGTGAGAACAGAGGGCACCTCGCCCACTAACCGCACATTGCCCTCCGTCCTGATGTTGGGGTCATTCTCAGCTGTCATCTGAAGCACTTTGAGCCCATTGTAGTAGATTCCAGACAGCTGGCCCTGGAATGGCTTGTTGTTGTCTTTGCCACCAATTTTGATTGTGGCCTGGCTGTTGAAGATTGTAAGTTGACGGCCTGAAATATAAAATTGTGTTTTGTTCATGAAAGCTATGCTCGTGTTTTTTTTTTTGTACATGTATGTAAAATGATCAACACTGACAGTTTTTCTCCCACATGTTCATTCGAATTTGTTACCCTTGGTCGTTTGAGAAATCATGCATCATGATATGAAGCCAACAATACATGCTAAAAAGAGCAATTTATTTCAGAATGATCAAATAAATCTGCATAGAAACAAAGAGGTTTGAAATGAATAAATAAACCTTGCACTTAGTGAGAGTGGATACACGTAATTTTTTCCCCATTTTGTGGAAAAGGGGCTTTTATATGTTTGTCAATTCACTTTTATGTTGATGAAATAATACAATTATGCAATCCTCATTTTTTTACACTCACTTAAAAAAGTTAACATGATAGTTCTCGTTCTATAGGGTACTTGCATTTATTTAAAATTCCATTTCTAACATGCATTTAAATTTCGTGTAGTTACTATTATTTATAATATTCAAGAATGTATCCTCACAAAAAGAGATGTAATTGGACAATCTTATTAATTCAATGAGATGTTACGTTGTTTTTTAAACGAAAATTCTACTTTGATTTATAATAAAAATGTATTTTTTATATATACAGTATTCATGAATGTTATGATTAATAGTTGTATATGTATAGCTTTATTGAGAAAAAAACCCCAATGATAATGGTGACTACTTTACATATCATACATTGTAAACATTTGATGTACAAAGCACGATTTCAAAATCCCGTTATTTTTAAGAATATTTTTCAAAAACAAAAGCAAATTTGAGAAATTTAGTGCCTTCTGGATTTGTTTTTAAAGATGAAAATCATAAACAATATGAAAATGAAGAAATGGCAAAGCACATGTTAGCACACATGCAAATGGATTTTTTTTTGTAATATACAGTATTTTTATGCACATTTTAATGGCATGTTTAGGGCGTAATTAAACAAAATTATTAAATGATAATGATTTATAAAATGTAACAGGACAGTGGAATCATTTAAATGCATTTATATTTAGTAATGTCATTTTAAAACTTAAATAAACGTTAAAGGGACAAGGTTGTGCATTAACATCACTTTAGACGCTACTTTGAACACAGAACGTTCACTTTAATCATTTTAAATCGTCAAATGATTTTTGTTGTTCTTTTAAAACTTAACCTATTTTGGTCCCTTTAACTGTTTACTGTTTATCAAGAGTGCCTTAGAATAACATTAGTTCCAATCTGCAAACAAACCAAATTATGTTAACGTTAAATGAAAAAAGAGCATTAGACTTTAGTTGCAAGTTTATGCCTTTAACATTTAGAAGGTTAAAACAAACATTAGTGGTGTTATGATGGAAATTATGTCTGGTTTAACAAGTTAAAAGTTTAATCGAGGCGTGGTTACCTTTGTCGAGTAGCCAATCATCAACTACTCGACCGAGTCGATACGGGATTCGCTGTCTAGCGAGCGCCAGGCGTTCATTATCAATGTTTCCTTTAAAGTTTAAAGAGATATTTCAAGGGTTAAAAAGCTGACAGGTCAACGGTTATTCTTTAAAACAAGTGAATTAGAATCAAGTTTAAGTATTATACAGAAATGTCATATAAATTACATTTAGGCAGTTTTTTTTTCACCAGCTAATTTATTTGTTTGGCTTTTGAAGAAATACCATTTTTTTTAGCCTTCATTCTTTTACCTTTAAAGGGTATGGCTGACCAGAACCCCAATGTTATTTAGTTTTTTAAAGTACGTAAATGTGTTTTTACTGAAAAAACATTATGTTTATTTTTAAGCTTATATTTTATTGTTTCAGCCTATCTTCTTAGTGCATGCAAGTTACTGCCTTGCATACTGCATTTTATATTAACATTTAATGTTTATGGTTGAAGATTATCGTCGGTCTTATGAGCAACTTTAAAATGGTTGTTCTTGTTGAATATAAACATATAATTAAACTTTACCACGAGAATATAGTTTATAACTAAAGTATTGGTAAAAAGGTAGGTTAACTGCATCTATGTACACTTATTAAGAGTACGAAGGAATGAAGGAAGCATCGACAAATTCAAATGATCAGATTGCCTATAATTGTTAATTTTTAGTTAGTCGGTTCAAAATATATTAGAACAATTTTCACTGCCATCATGCATTTTTGGCGCAAAATTATAAATGTTTAAAGGCCAAATAGAACTTTATACAATATAATGCTGAAAATGTGGCCTTATGGCAATATTGCATTTATATGACATTTTTATATAATGCATATTAAATAGCTATGTTTTACCAGTTGCTTGAATGTCTTCAACAAGATTCATCACAGAACATTCACAACAATAACAGCTTCAACAATATTTAGCACTTGCTAGCGACCTTGAAAAATACAACATACTGCTGCATATTCCTGCAATTACAATCTGTTTAAATCCGAATACAATATATTGTTTTAGTACAGCCATGCATACATGTACACATTTATCATATACATATCAGATATGCTTGCTAAAAATGTTTCATTTTAAGTGGATAGTAAGTACAACATAATTAACCTAAATGGTGAATAGCTCTGGTGTTTTATGGTTATGTAAACCTCAAATTTTTTTATTTCCAGCTTTGTAAATATCTTAAAAGCATAGGCTTCTGGATTAATCAACCAATTTTTAAAGAAAGTCCACCTCAAATTTTACGTTTCTACTTACTGAGAACTGTGAATATAATTTAAATGTGGGAAAAACGAAATTATTTAGATTTAATCTGTGAAAAACGTTCCTATTATCTGCAGAAATTTGCCAATATAAATTAACCCATGACAAAACATATCCAAAACAGATCTCTAAATACACAATAAATACTGACAACAAAACTGGTATTGCTCCTTTCCCAAAATGTAGGCATATTGTGAATACAAGACCTACATACAAATTCGCCACATTTCAACTTAATCAAAAATCTGATTTACCCTGTGGTGGAGCAAATGAGCAAACAGTGTCTTCAGCATGTGCTCAATCACAACACCCAACACAATTTCAAAAACTTACCAGGGTGTCTCGTACAATTAGGCATTCATATCTGCACAACCTGATTTAGTAAAAAAAAAAACCCCAGGATGTGAAAGTAATTTGCTGAGGTTAAGAGAAGCTGGGCATGGTACTAAAGCAGCACAATTACCCTGCGCTAACTCCTACTGTGCATTACATTTTTACATTCCCATGGCGACTCTATACGAAGATGAGCTACTCAATCTCCGAGTTATTTGGAGTGAATTAAAGTCCAAGCTCTGAAAGTGGTCCATGAGGATTTATGTGAAATTATGCATTGGCATAAATTGTCTCAGGTTGATACAAAAAAAAAACCTTTGCAAAACTAAATTGAGCGAATATTGTAATTCGGCATCCTACAAAAATGAATGCAATGCATTTTGTCATCACCATCCCTCATGGTCTGCAATGGCACACCTATCTTGTATGTTGAACTGTTTTGGTACCGAACATAGCCAACCATGTTGTAGCTGCGAATGAGCTGATCCATCCACATGGTGGTCGTCCTTTTGGGTGTGATTCCCTCTTTTGGCTACCATTATCTGTCTTATCCATCAGATATCATCTCTTTTAGTGATGCGTTTTGCCCAAACCCACTTAGTTTGTCTCTCACTAATTGTAAGCATGCATCTCTCCATGCTTCTTAGCATACTTTTCAGTTTTTGTTCAATTTTCTTTGTCGGAGTTAATGTTTCTGATTCATAAATCATGGCAGGTAATTATGCACTGATATGCTGGCTCTTCTTAATAAACTTTAAGTTCCCAAATGCACTCTAAGCTGCCCTCGATTTCCTCTCTATCCCAGTGTGCTTTCAGTTATTTCACTCGAAATACAATAGTGGATGGTGACCTTCAGTTGTGTCCCTCTCACAGTTATTTATTTTTTGCTCAGCATACGTATTTTTAGGTTATGTAAAATAATAACAATGTGTTTCCTATATATAACACGTTTTAGTCAGCGATGCCTCCGTCAACGCCCAATCAATTACGTGTGCCTCATAATTGAAAAATAAAAAACACACCTCTCTTTATTGAAAGAAAAAAATGTCAACCATGTTGGGTGATACGTAAATAAGGTTACATAAAAAGGGGACTTTAGGAGGCGATGCGATTTACTGTTGCACGAGTGTGAAAGTAATAAACGTGTTCAACTAGAAGTATTTAATGTCTCATATAGCTCCTGAGCTTTATGGACAATATTAAATATCACATTTGTCAACATTACTGCGCCACAGAGGCCTGGGTATTGTTTTTGCTAAATGTCACTTGGGCTGGCTGAGTGAATGTATTGCGATTTCTTTGAATGAAGAAAGAAGTGTTATTCTTTAGGAAGAGTCATATTCCTTGCAAATACTCAAATTTAAATGCAATATTCTTGATGTATATTTTAAAATATAAAAGGCTCAGAAAGTATAAACAAATGTGTATACTAATTTTTAGTAAATGGCATATCTATAACGTATCTCATTTAAAAGCAAACACGTGAAATGAGGAATAATACTAACGCTGGTTCAGCAGTTCCACTGCTGGAGTCAATTTTTTTCCCGTGTTGCGATCGAAACGTGATTTATTTTATTTTATACCTAAGTGACTTTACCGAAAGAACCAAAGAGAATGGAATCTTACACTTTCATAATACGTTCACATGTGCGCATGCATGTGCATAACTGTTAGGCCAAATAAACTCTTTGCATTACGTTTTAGAGTAAACTGTGGTGGTCAATATATGAATCAAATCCGCGATTTGTACCATGCGTCATATTCAGCAAAATGCTGAGACGGAACCGCAAATGGCACATAATTTTTTAAAACTATATTAAACTGAACAAAAACGTGTTTAGTCCAGTCTTAAAAGCACCGATTGTTACGGCTGACCGGACTACAGTTTGTGAGCACAGTGTTGGTTGCAGCATTAGTCCTGCCGTGAATCAGACGATAAGACTCTTATGTTTACCTGCCACAAAACCTTTCGTAAAAAAACTAACGTGCACATCAGCGTACCTACTTTACACATATCCCACGCGGGTGTGTTAAAATGCTAAGCATTACAAATTCACCAAGGTGATAAACGCTATGCATGCACACATCTTATAGACCATGCTCAGATAGTAAAATCTTTGCAAGGAAGCTATGATTAAAGCCTAAAATAAGAAATCTGTGTTTAATGCCTAACATAAAACCAAACCGAGAAGCATATAACCCATGCTGTAATGAGAAATGTTCCGAAGTTACCAATAATTTATACACGTATGCAATGTAAAATTTCACACACGTGATATTAACATAAGCTCTCTCTATATAAGAAGAAACATAATAATGTGGGGCACTAAAAATGTCCGACGCTATGGATGCTCTTAGAAATGATTAAACACTTATTTCACATTCGAGAAAGATTGTCCTTAATTGGGCCTCAGTGGTTCGGGGTGGAGCGGTGATTTCGCAGTCATCGCATTTTGCTATGAACCCATCGATCGACTGTTGGAGATGGGCACCACCCATTGGGGACCGCCATTAATGTGTATGTATGCACGCATGTATGTTGAACTTCTTTCGCACCGTACAGAGCCAACTGTGCTTATCGGAGGTGCGTATTAGATGTTTCGGTGTGCAGCGGTGTTGCTGTGGTTGTGGCACTGCAATTTGAATCTGGTGCAGAGGTCGCAACCAGGTACCCGATACCTGTACCCTACCCGATACCCGGCTACCCGTAACCGGCCGGGTACGGGTACGGGTACCCGTTTGCGACCCTGGTGCGGCCGGGTACGGGTACGGGTAGACCGTGAGTCACTGGTGAGTAACCGTTTGTCACTCATTTCCCAACGTCTTGTCTCGTCTCACAATTAAAGTTCCTATTATCAACTCACCCGCGCCTGCAACATGGCTTCATCCTAGAGGTCGCAATCAGGTACCCGATACCCGTACCCTACCCGTACCCGGCCGGGTACGGGTACGGGCACCCGTTTGCGACCCTGGTGCGGCCGGGTACGGGTAAGGAATCAAAACCCGTTTGCGACCTCTGATCTGGTGACCTGACTTCACGGCTAACATCAGTGGCAAGCGAGATCTGAACCAGTCCTAGATCACCCCCGTACACTAGTCCACACTGACCAGCATGGTAAAGTATGGCCAAACACCCCCACGACCATGTACAATATTTATATATTTGTGTGTATACACACATACCCCATCATCATCACGATAGCCTGAAGGTTGTCCGCTGCACATTTAGGTATTTGTTTGCACTTTTCTCTGTCTTGTGCCAATATGCTCAAGTAGTACAACATCTTGTTGGCACCAATCTCTTGTGACGTCGTCGTCGTCCAAACAACACACTTTTAATTTTCCTGTTGCAAACCATCGTACATATGTGTCCAAATAGTGCCAGTTTCCTTCTCATCACTGCCTGCATCAGGTCTTCTTCTGTGCGAAACCTTCTTATTTCTATTTCGGTCAATCTTT